TGTGTGTGCTCAAGTCTTTACTTGACACTTACCATCCTATAACATCCGTTCATCCAAACCACTCACTACAGGTGAGTTCATACCCCTTAATCGACCTTTTAAATGATTTTAAATGCTTTTATGGGGGGGGGGATACAAGTTGAACTATTATAGTTATTATATCAATCACGTGTGATTAATAACTACCAAACAAGTGAATTTCTTACTTTTCAAACTGTGTTATCAAAACAAACTACTTCAAACTGTTTTACAAACTCTTTTACATATTAAATACTTTTATTAAACTCTTTTAAACTTATATTTTGTTAAATATGTATCTATATAGATATAGTTATATAAGTAGGATTGAAAGGACTTAGGACTGATAGCTCACCTTAACTCTTGTTCCTTGTTTGGTTGTGGACTTAGGGTATCGGTTGTTTGTCCGAAGGTCGTTTGAATCCTAGTTATATATTATGTATATGTATATAGATATAAAAGTTCCTACTTTCTATTCAATACCTTTGGGTAGCAAAGGTATACAAACATGTTCATACATACAAACAATATTACTAGTAAACTATAATAGGTGTAGTTTAGGAAGTTACTAATACTATTACTAGAACAATGAAACATACAATGAGTCAGTTCATACATGAGTCAACACATACTATTATGAGAAACAGAGAGAACATACTTACATACTAGACAGAGAGAGAACATATAATACAGCTAGTACATACTATACATTATATGAGAGAACATACTATTATGAGAAACATAGAGAACATACTTACATACTAGACAGAGAGAGAACATACAATACAGCTAGTACATACTATACATTATACAAGAGAACACACTATTATGAGAAACAGGGAGAACATACATACATACTAGACAGAGAGAGAACATACAATACAGCTAGTACACACAATACATATACAAGAACACTACTACAGTTATGTGAGCCACGTAACGGGGCATGACATCACCTGTCATGGCTCGTTTTGTATCCAGAATCTCCTTCAGTGGAAAGCGTTGAGTTTGTGTATAGATCTATACTGGATTGACTATCCTACACCTTGCTGCTAGCTACAGTGGGACTTGCAAGTCTACGGGTGCCAAACGTCATTCCTTCCGACGTCTTTCATCATCGCGTTTCTAGTCGGTAGTATGGTACAGGCATATCACATGGTACTTTAAATAACAATTGGTTTAAGGTAGTTAGTACAGAAGTAGTTACTTAATACAACACTACAATACTATTTTATTTCCCATTGCATTCACTTTGTGATCTTCACACAATGAACAGTAATGTAAAAACTATATTTTTGGTTAATGATAGTCAGATTTGGGATAATATCTCACAAGAGACACACACACAAACACTTGATGCCTTGGTAGAAGGCTACTTTTAGTAGAAAAACATAGGGTTTTCTAGGAGATTCAAACATTTTACAAACTTACAAATCACATACTTACAAACACTTTCATACAAACAATGACACTAAAATACTTATGATCTCACCAGCTTTAAAGCTGATAAACTCTTTCAAAATAACTTGTATTCTCAAGTCACCAGTAGACAGGTACCGATGCCAAGTTTTGAGAAGATGGAGCTCGTTCAAGACTCATCTTTTATTTTGATTTATATTTTTGGTGTCTATTAAACTTGACAGAACAAACTTGTATTAAATTATATTATTAATGCAATGGATGATGTTGTTGCTTGTTTACTACTATGCATTGTTGTGATACTGTACGTGACGTCCTCCACCCCCGAATGTTTCCGCCGTTCCGGTTTTGGGGTGTGACACCAATGGAACCCTAAGGGCCCAATAGGGCCCAAAGTGACCTAAAAGCCCAACCAATGGACTAATGGGCTAGTATTGGGTTGGTAAACCCTAATTAGGGTTTGGAAAACCCTAAGGGCATAAAACCCTAATTGTGGGAATCGTTTGAGACACACACGAGAATTAATTATTAAACCTAAAATAATAATTAATAATCATTGGCAAACTAGCTTAAGGCAATAATGAACTTAATGGATTAAGTCCTTAATGGATTAAGTCCTTAATGGGTTAAGTAAGAAACACTTAACCCTACTCATCATTTCATGTGAAAGCCCTAATCTCACTCGGGCCTTGAATTGGGCCTTCCTAGTGGGCTTTGGTGATTGGACTATTGATGGGTTGTCCAAGAACAAGTTAATGGACCAAAATAAGTAGATGGGCTTTAGGATAAGGCCCATGTGAGGACTTGGGCCCAATTTGGAAAATTGAGCCTTAATGACTATGTGATAATGGGTCATGGGAATTGGATTGGAATAATCGAATGGGCCTTAAGGAAAGACCATGTAGAGGTCTGGGCCTAATTTGGAAAATTGGGCCATATGTTGGGCTTTGGCCCATTATTTTACTTTTGGGCTTTTGTAGTGTGAGTTGGACCTTGGGCTTGGAACCCAAATATTAATTGGGTATTGTTTGATGTTGACAGTTCGGGAATCTGTCAACCAGCAGCTGGAGTTTTATCTGCGGGACATCAGCAATGTCAGGTGAGTTATCCTCACTATACTAAGGGGTCTAAGGCACCAAGGCCGGCCCATTGGATATGTTATCCTAGCAGTGTTAGATGTTGAGTATGAGTTAGTGTTGCATGCTAGTGGTTATGCCAGTTAGGTAGATCTGGAGGACTACCTGTGATGTTATATGATTATTGCATGCTCAGTAGTTATGTTATGTGTTTGTTATATGTTATGGGGGATGGGTTGAGGTGATACTGCTCCGTGCGGTAACCAACAAACCTGGGAGCATTCCAGATACGGGCTAAGGGAGACCCGTACTGGGGGCTCGATGGCAATCCAGATGTGAGCTGTGGGCCCGAAAGGCAATCCAGACTCACACTGTGGGCCCAGTGGTAATCCAGTAGGTGGAGCATTCCAGATACGAGCTGAGGGAGACTCGTACTGTGGGCTCGATGGCAATCCAGATGTGAGCTGTGGGCCCGGAAGGCAATCCAGACTCACACTGTGGGCCCAGTGGTAATCCAGTAGGTTGAGCATTCCAGATACGAGCTGAGGGAGACTCGTACTGTGGGCTCGATGGCAATCCAGATGTGAGTTGTGGGCCCGGTAGGCAATCCAGACTCACACTGTGGGCCCAGGGGTAATCCAGTCTGTAAAGTTGTGGACCCATTATATGCTGTTCAGTTTGTTATGTTATGATATTGCTGACATAGTTATGTGGACTGTATGTGTATCGGTATTTTGGGGGTAACTCACTAAGCTTTCGGGCTTACAGTTTCAGTTTATTGTTTCAGGTACATCAGGGGACCGTGGCAAGGCAAAGACGTGATCGTACAGCTCCTCACTTTTTATGATTTTGTTTCTGGGATACTCTGTATGATACATTTTGAAAACAAGTTTGTAATAGTTAATGAATTTGAAATGTTTTTAAAAGTTTAAATTGGCTTGAATTTTTGGGTGTTACAAAATAGGGTTTGGACACTGATCACGTATGCCCAACGTACGCCCAACATACTAGACTAAGTCTAAAACCTTCCTAATTTCTAACGATCATAACTTCTTCTTTCCAACTCTGTTTTCGATGATCTTTATATCAACATAAAGGTATTGAGGAGCTCTACACCCCTATATAATTACTTTTGACTTAAAACACATCGAACTAAAATCCTTAATTCATAAAATAAGTCTGAAACACCACTTTTCTCATTTTACCCTTTGACTCCAAAGCACAAACCGAACTCTTGGATCACATAATCTACATTGCCCACATCCAAATGGGTATAAACCTCTCTTTCCCAAAGCCCGAAGCCTTTTGATATTTTGATCTTCGGGTCACGACCCTGAATTTATGAAACGACTCGAAATAAGGTGTTACATTAGTACCACAATTAACTTAAAGGAGGGATCGAAGGGCTGAGTAGTTCTTTTTGTTGAATAAGCCACATAACATGTTTTTTGACATTACTTTTATGATTTTTTAGGAGTGCAACAATTTTTGTTCTTTGATTCTATATTACTTTCACAAAAACAACAAGCTACTCTATTTGAGTAGTTAAAAAGACGACATGAAATAGTTATTTTTCTTTATTATTGTTATTGGAAGAATTATTGGGGATTCTTCTGATCATTTCCCCAATACTGATGTACCGATTCATAATGGAGAATAGTAATGTAATAGGATATCCTATTGTACCATGAACAAGACTGCAAGAATATGGAATAGTGAGAAGAGTAAAAAAATCATTTACTACCATATATGCTTCTTTATTCATCTACTTATATAGGACAAATATATCCAATAATATATTGAATAGTTGGATACCATTATTAATAAATAATAGATAAATGAACAGGTTATATGGCTGTATATGAAAGTGTGGAAGAAGTCAAAGAAACTTGGAGTCCAACCTTCCTCCACATGTCTTTCTTAAATTTAGTCACATTTTTCATGCTTAGTAATATATTATTTGTGTTGAGTGTTGGTGTAATACTAAAAAAAATTTATTAATTAATATGTTAACTCTTTTAGGAGAATAAAAATCATTAATTATATGTTTATAGTATTATATCATCCTCCATTACTTCATTTTCATTCAAACCAAAAAGAACTAAAAATGATTCTTAGTTAATAATCCAAAGAAAGTATATATTGCCAGTGAGATTTCACAAATAAAATAAAAAATAAAAAAGTTAATTAATATACTTATAACAATTTAAGTGCTCAATCAATAGAAAATATTTGAAATCACCATATAAATCTAATACATAATTAATAAATATATTACCAAGATTTGCAAATATACTTAGATCCATGGGGAGTGGAAGAGAGGTTGGTTCTTGATTCAAAACCGTGTTAGGTCCGTCAATAAAGAGACGATATGGATTACCCCTTAATCATTTCGATTTAAATAATAACTAATTATTCATTATTTTATTAATTAATCAACAATAAAATAGTACTATCATCACCGAATTCTTCTTTCTTCATCCTCCTCCTCACGATCATTCTCTCCATCTCTATTCTTGTTTTATTTTCAATCATTATCTCATTCTCTCTCATCGTATTTCACTCTCCAAAGCACAAAATCAAACAGAGAAATCCCATCTTTATCGTTCTTTTTCATCATCTACTTCCTCAATCGTCGCTTGTTTGCCCCCCACACCCCACAAGCAATAAGCTTCGACCAACATCATATACCTCATTTCTTTTATCAATTAACTTCGTGGGTGCTCTCAATTTTGTACTTTTACTATAAATTAAAATATGGGCTAGTTCGATTCTTCAAAAAGAATCTCGATTGGGTGTTTCTTGATTTTGCATAGTGTTTTGGATTGATAATCGGTTGTTGACCTTGATGCAAGTTTTGAGGTTGGGTTTTAAAGTACTAATAAGGATTTAGTTTTATTTCAAACCCTAATTTGAGGTTTAAATTAGGCTTATGTGGATCTGAATTGGGGTTCGGAGTTTTATCGAATAAAGAATCATGGATCATGTTGTTGGTGGGAAGTTTAAGATTGGGAGGAAAATTGGTAGTGGATCTTTTGGCGAACTTTATTTAGGTATTCCTTGAATCACTTGCAGGTCTTTTTATACTTGTTTATGTTTTTTCAGTAGTTATTAACTCTCTTTGTTTCATGATGATATGCAGGTGTTAATATTTCAAGTGGGGAAGAAATAGCTATTAAACTGGTATTGATTTCAAACTTTTATATGGTTTGATTGATCTTCAAACTATTATTATTTACCTGTTCCTACACTCTACAGGAACCTGTCAAAACAAAGCATCCTCAACTTCATTATGAATCAAAATTATATACGCTTCTCCAAGGAGGAAGTTAGTTTTCTCCCCCTATACACACACAAACAATGAAACAAACATATAATCATTTATATATGCGTTTTGTTGATTCATACAAATTATCTGATAATGTGTTTGTTTAATCTAATGAAGCGGGAATACCAAGCTTCAAGTGGTTTGGAGTGGAGGGAGAGTATAATATCATGGTTATTGACCTTCTTGGACCAAGTCTCGAAGACCTTTTCAACTATTGTAGTAGAAAGTTCAGCTTAAAGACTGTCTTAATGCTTGCAGATCAACTAGTAAGTGCTTACAAGCAGTAGATATTGTTAGGTCTATATTTGCTACGCATGACATGACATGACATGATAGAACATGTTGTACTTTGTCTACCTGTCCACCCCAAAAAAGATTGGACAGGGACTTGTTCTTGATTTCCCATTTGTGCAAAAGACATAAATGCCCTTGTCATCAATTGAAAGTTTGTCCAGTCTCATGTAATAGATACAACCTTAGAGACTATCCTTTAAATTCTTAGTTATATTTATATTTTTTTTTTTTGCAGATAAATAGAGTTGAGTTCATGCATGCAAGAGGTTTTCTTCATCGTGACATAAAGCCTGACAATTTCTTAATGGGTCTGGGACGTAAAGCTAATATGGTAGTTGCTTCATTAATTTATTACTTCATTTTGACGTGTGTTTGTTTTATGAAAATTTAACATATTTTTGAAAGAATATTGATATTAGAATAATGTTAAACTTTTTTGTGGATCATGAGCTTGGTTGTCATCTGATGGCAGGCATACGTGATTGATTTTGGCCTTGCAAAAAAGTATAGAGATCTTCAAACTCATAAACACATTCCATATAGGTAAATCGTGTTTTCTAAAATTTATCCTCCTTTTTTGTTAGCATATATTTAGGAATGGGTCAATTTGGGTTATAATTTATTTCTAACGGGGGATAAATGGGAAAGATTAAAAAATTAGGGTAACTGCAAGAAATAGCAACATACTTCCATTGATTTGTTTATTGTAGCATCATACTGGCATTTCTTCTTATTAGGCCATTGTACTTTGAATAATCTACATAACTATAGCAGTTTCATTCATATAAAAGCAATTTACATTGCCATAATACAATAAAGTTTTTAAAGTATATTGTCCCAATTAGGTTATAGACGCATGTAGTACACTGCTGAGAAAGTTGAAATAACCTACACAGACAATAAAAAACTTTATTATTAAAGTTTTCTGAAAACGTTGCTGATATAAACACACATACTCACAAAACACATAAATACACATACACTGAACACACTCACAGAACATACACACATTCATAAATGGTCCCTGTTTACAATATATAACATGTAATAATGCAAAAAATAGCGATGTAGTTTCATACTTGTATAAAATATAGCATCTTACTTTGAATGCTATTAATGTTTGGATTAACATTGATCTTTAGTTTTTTTAATCACTGTTAATCGCCTCTAATCGACTTCTGAGTTGTAATTGGCGCACTCTTAACCTGCGACTTCTCATCCCTAACAATGACTTCCAAAATCATCTCCACCTGATATTTTTTCTATGATGTTTATGAATTTACCAAAAATATGCTAATTATATTCCTGATTTATGGGGATTAGGATAGAAATAATTTGAATTCTTAAGTTATAGCGAGAATTTGAAGGAATAAATTGGAAACAAAAAACACAGCTTTCTTATGTATTAGCATTGGCGGAAAAAATATTCCAGGAGGTATATAATGCTGACACGTGGCACACATGGTGTTCATACTATTCTTTTATTATATAGATATAGATAAATGAAAGTATGTTGCTATTTCTTCCGTATAGCCCTAAATTTTTGTGGTAAACGAGTTCAACAATTTACCTCGTTCAAAATGTATTCAAGTGCTTACAACCTTTTTATTTGCTTTCTAGTAATAGTTTTTGTAGACATTTAATACACATCTTTTAACAGAAAAAAATTTCTTGATTAGTCAATTCGACCCGCTTTGACCCCAAACCCTACCCAGCTGACCCACCCATTTTGTGTTTGACTGCGAACTCAATTTGCATTTTTTTTTTTGTCAGGGAAAATAAAAATCTCACAGGGACTGCCCGCTATGCTAGTGTTAACACGCACCTTGGAATCGGTCAGTTGTTCATGTCATTAATATTTTTTTATAAAGTTTCTTTTTAAATAGTTTTTTGAGTAAAAAAAAAACTATTATGAACATGCAGAACAAAGTAGACGGGATGATCTCGAGTCTCTCGGTTATGTTCTTATGTATTTCCTAAGAGGAAGGTGAGCAGATGAAGTGTCAGTGGCATTATTGTAAATTTTCAACCCCATGCTGGTCATTTGTCTATCTCATCTCATGTGCCCTAATTTAAGTTGTATGTGTGGCTTAAGCCTTCCATGGCAGGGGTTGAGAGCAGGAACCAAGAAGCAGAAATACGATAAAATAAGTGAAAAGAAGATGTTGACTCCAATTGAGGTAATTGCAATTTTAAGAATCAGAATAAAGATAATCAGACAATTATTTGATTATTTGGGGGTCAAATAATCAGTTTAGGACAACTGATTATCCACTGTAAAACAACAATTACTGTATTACCCTTCTTGTTAAACCTAGATTATATACATCTTTTAAAAGAGCCAGGATATTGAAGTTTTATTTTCCATGAAAGCTGTTTCAGATTTGTTAAATTTCCATAAAAGTTGTCTTCGTGTTTTAAATAATGGCAACATAATAATAATAATAATAATAATAATAATAATAATAATAATAATACTTTGAACAGGTGCTATGTAAATCATACCCATCGGAATTTACAGCATATTTCCATTATTGTCGATCATTGAGATTCGAAGACAAACCCGACTATTCTTATTTGAAGAGGCTTTTTCGGGAACTATTTATTCAAGAAGGTCAGACTCAAACACCATAAATAATCTCATTTTAAAACAAAATCTTTCATTCAAAAACTCGTATAACAATTACAGTTATTGAACTTTTATATAATATTAATTGATTGCAGGCTATCAGTTCGACTATGTATTTGATTGGACCATATTGAAGTACCCCCATATTGGTGCTACCTCCAAAGGACGAGTAAGTGCAAAACCACCAATAGTTTTATGATATTTATATAATTTTTTGTTCATTTCGTTTTTTTTTTTTTTTGGCAGAATTTAGTTGCCAATGCGGGTTTAAATGCTGGAACATCAGCTGAAAAGCCTGGAAGAACCTCAGGTATCGCATGTAATTGAAATACAAACACAAATTTTTTAAGTGAAAAATCATGTCTTTTGTGGGTCCCATTGCTGATTATGTGGTCATTTTGTTAAAACTCTTCCCCCATTTTGGTGATTTTTGTGAAAACGAGTCTTAATTTGGGTTAAATATACGTATTATGACAAACGGGTCTTAATTTGGGTAATAATATCTTCCATGCAGCTGGTGAAGATATCCGTGATAGAGTCTCGGGTGCAGTAGAAGCATTGTCTAGACGAAATTCTTCGGGTGGGGCCCGCCATGAACATTCTAGAAACAGGATTCCCGATGATATGCCTTCATCAAAGGATGTGGTAAGTTTATCTCTCTTATTTCTTCTTTTAACATTCTAGAACATTCTAAAAACAGAATTTATGGTTTCTTAATCCACAGCAACCCGATTCTGAAAAACTCCGGTCATCTCGAAACGGGGACTCGTCAAAACGTGCCGCCATTCCCGGCGGCAGGCCAAGCTCCTCCGGCGAACCAACGGAAGTCCGGTCAAGCCGCCATGTGGCGGGAAGTGGTGGAGGTGGGCGGTTGTTGACTGCTCATAGAGTCCAACCGGGATATGACACCAAACAATCGGTTTTTTCTCGTACTACAAAAAGTGGCAATGATGATCCTGTCCGCAGCTTTGAGTTCCTCTCACTCAGGAAATGAAAAAAATCGCCATTTTTATCCAAGTGATTTTTTTCAACTCTTACAGAAATGGATGATGTGGCATTTTCAAATAAGTGGAAAGGGTATACTTACATGAGAATACCTTTGTAAATTGTGTATCGGGTTTTCACTTTTCATGAATGATTTAGAATTGAATCCCAAAGGATTTTTTGTGTTCTTGATGTTGCGTATGTCGTAAAAAGGATCATATAAAAGAAAATTTAGTAATAACTTTGGTTATTTTTTTGTGTAAGGGTTCTATAAACGTTTTATGTGTGACAACGGTATATTAATAATATCGAGATTTTATCGTTTGTTAACCGTTGCACCAAATGATGTCCAAGTGTTTGGATTGCTTCTACTCTCTCTGATAATAAATTGACGCTTTGATCCATTTTGGGATTTGTATATCTTATCTTCTTTCTTATTCTAATTCTAATAATTTTAATAAATGACTCTTTGAATCAGACACATGGCATCTTTTTAAACATTAACTTTGACACGTGTCCTGTTTCTAAACCTCTTCTACTATCGATTCCGGCTCGAAGTTTCTTTACTATGTAACCCTATTTTTTTGGTGCTTAAACTCGATTTCAAACATCCAACTTTATATCCGAAAAATCAGCAAAAAAATCCTAGAAAATCAGCAATCAGTGAGATACTTTGGGGTTAATCGGCAAGGTGAGAAGCAATTTTATGGCAATCCATTCCAAAAAATATTCATACGATTCCAATCTGTGTCGGTCCATTTTACTTATCGATTGCTGCTACAGTTAAAAGTTCTTGAACCCTCCACTAAAGGAAGATTGTTGTTTACATTAAGTTTTTCGGTTTATCATTTTTGTGTTTTGAATTGTATTATTATCTATACCATTTCAATCGCTAGTATGTGTTTGTTTCTATGTCACTGAGTAAGTTGTTGATGTGGTGTTTTTCGTTTTTTTTGTCGTGTCACTCGGTTATTTGTTTAAAGATTTTACATTTTTTTCCATCCACCATGTGTTCGATAAAACGCCTAAGAGAACCATCTCTTTTTGTATGATATTGACTAGATGTATAGAGTTCCCCATGTTCTTTGATGGCTTTAAACCTTCAACCTTTATTTCTTTATTATTTGTAATTTGAATTGGACCTCATGTTACTTCTAAAAGTACGTTTTCAATCACAATATTAATTGAGAATCAACTATATGGTTTGGTTTTGACCACAACATCAGAAAGTAACTGATTCTCAAAGTTGAAAAAAGTTAAACCTTCTAATAGTGGGTTTGTGAGCGTTTGAGAGTTTCTAGCTTCTAACTTTTGGGAGCGTTTGAGAGCTTCTAGCTTCTAGCGTTTGACAAAACGCTCTGTTTTAAACAGAAAGCCTCGTTTGACACTACAGGTTTCTAGCGTTTAATTTAAACAAAATGCTCCAAATCCAAATGTTACTTTACGTAACGTTTAACAAAACGCTACCAACTAGAAGCTACCCGCTACCAGCTATTTTTGCCGAACGCGCCCTTTATCACTTTTCACAATAAATGTTCAATTTTATTTGGAAAATAATAATGAGGATTTTAATGTCAACAAAAATTTGTCAAATCCACCATGCGAACAACGGTTTGAAATCAATGCTTCCATCGTAAGGAATCAATGTTGGTGTCAATCTTTTAGGTGCAAATTGTATGAGAAAGGCGGAAGAAAATTTACATTATTAGAGTCTTCTATCTCGCAATGAAACCGTTTCAGGTAAACTTTTTTGGCAAAATGTGAACCTGACAACCGAATGATGCAAATTTTCCTAGAAAAATTCAAGTAAAAAAGAATTGTTTTTCTATTTTTGGTTCCTTCGGTACTATTTGACTTTGTAATTTATTATAACCAGGGAATCTTTTTTATCCAAACTCTATCTCTTCATGTGCTCAATTTGTCTCGACTAATCCATAAGATCAAGTTTACTAGCATAGATTGAGAAAGCAAATCAATGGTGTTGTTCAATGAACATAAAAACCTGAGAGCAGGGCAATATTTATGAATCATTTACAACCATTTTACAATCAATGGAGTTGTTTTTTGTTAGGTTTTGATATCTTATAATCAAAACTAAGAGAGTTTTTCCATAGTAATTTACAATTGATATCCTTACTTTACTTTATGTTGAGGTTGATTGCTTTTCAGATCAGATTCATGAAAGGAAAATAAACTAAACATGATTGATACACCAAAAAATTCATTTTTTAAAAAATAACCACAATTTATGGAATGCCCCATTATTGGTAAATAACTACAAGCTAATTACTTAAATATTTGAAATACTCCGAGTTTGTAAATTTCTTTTTAAGACTACCTTTTTGTATCCAATTATAATATAAGCAACTAAACTTTTTTTGATTAATCAATTTATTTAATCTTTAATTTTTCTAGCATGTGAATTCATAGTAATGCAGTTCTTCCTATAAGTAATCACGAGACACCAGATTTGGGAATGGGAATCACTTTTATTTCTTAAACTAGGAAAAGATCAACTGATCGTAAAACAGAAAAAACCAAAACAATTAATAGGTTAAACTATCTGTGAAGAAGGGAACTAACCCTTCAGGATTATCCTAAACTAATATGATAATAGCGAACTATTTTAAAACTAAGATAAGATAAAATATCCTGATTCCCACGTGATTCCCTTTAATAGGATCCCATATCCGATGTGGACGGACCGGGTCTTGACGGAACCTAACTGCATCGTCCTCCCCCACTTTGAAAGGACTCGTCCTCGAGTCAAATGGATCATCCAACTCAGGCAAGAACGGGAACAAGAATGGGAATAGGTCAGCAACATTGAACGTGACTAACACATTATAGTGCCCGACTAACACATTATACTTACTCGCTCGACCCCTCGGAAACTGATCCTTGCTAAGATGAATCCATACGAGATCACCCTCGTCAAAAACCACCTCCTTACGTTGCAGATTGGCCCTCCTTTGATACACAATATTGTTATTGGTGATCTGCTCGTGAACCTGTTTGTGTATGCTCTTAATCTGATCCGCCCTCTCCTCCCCTTCAACACTAAAGTACTCGGCAGTAGGCAATGACACCAAATCCAAAGGTGTGAACGGATTTCGACTGCACACAATAAGAAAGGGACTCATTCCCGTCAATCGATGTGTGAACCTATTATAGGAAAACTCGGCTTAAGGAAGTACAAAGTCCCACTGTTTTGGATTCGATCCCACAAGACTTCGTAGCAAATTACCAAGGCTTCTATTTGTCACCTCCGTCTAACCGTCACTTTACGGGTGGTGCGCGCTACTAAAGTGAAGCCGGGAACCCAACCGCTTCCACAGTGTACGCCAAAAGTGACTCACAAACTTCACATCCCGATCGGAAGTCAACGACTTAGGCACACCATGCAATCTCACGATCTTCGTTAAGTAAACACGAGCCACCTGACTAGCATCATAAGTTTTGGTACACCGAATCAAATGGCTCATTTTAGAGAACCTATCCACCACCACCATTACAGAGTCTTTTTGTCATTGCGTGCGGGGAAGTCCCACGATGAAATCGAGACTAACATCTTCCCACGGGCCCTCCGATACCGGTAACGGCGTATAGAGACTCGTGTTCGAGTGGTGTGTTTTAACAACATGACATGTTCGACAGTGATCAACAAACCGAGTGACAACAACACTCATCTTTGGCAAAAAAAATATTCTTTTACAAGTTTCAACGTCTTAGCCCTCCCCAAATGACCTGCCAATGCCCCTTGGTGTCCCTCTAACATAATCGCCCTCCCGCAACGAGCACTAGGGCGCACATAACCGGATACCTTTAAAGAGAAACCCATCATGTAGCGAATATCCCTGGGATGGCGCAACCCGACAGGCTGTCCAAATCGCCAAAAATTCGGTTCATCCGGATATAGTGTCGCAAATCGTTCAAACGCATCCACACGAACTTTGAGTGGCGTGAGTAACCCGCGACGACGGCTAAGAGCATCAGCCACTGTGTTTGTCGCCCCGGACTTATGACGAATGACAAACAAAAAATCTTGTAAGAACTCAACCCACGTAGCATGCCGTGGGTTTAACTTATGTTGCCCCTGAATAAAACAAAAAGCTTGGTGATCCGAAAACAAGATAAATTCAGTGTGTGAAAGGTAATGCCTCCAGTAATCCAAACTTCGAATGATTGCATAAAATTCCTTATCATAGGTAATATACTTTTGCTTGACCTCGTTTAGTTTTTCACTAAAGAAGGCAATCAGGTGCCCCTCCTGACTAAGGACACCACCAACGCTAAGACCCGAGGCATCACACTCAACTTGGAACGTGTTTTTGAAATTTGGCTGCGCCAAAACTGGGGCACTCGTGAGGCAACATTTTCGTTCTTCAAATGCCAATGTTTCCGCCGGCCGTGACATCCCCAATTTCACGGCCAGAAAAGACCGATTTGTTTATGCTTTATTTGAAAATCAGAATACCTTTTTAAAGAAAAGTATTGCGGAATTTGTTCCCAAAAGATAAATATGATAAAAATTTATCAAAGCATTTCCGAAGAAATGTATTTCATTATATTAAAACCTCGAGATGTCATGTTCGATATAGATCAAAAGCATAAACAGAACAACATAGGCCTTACAACATTTATTTATATCTAATGGCCTATAATCCATAATCCATCGTCAAGTCATCCAACTATGCTCTTGTGCCACTACCTGTAATACAAGAAACTGAGTGGGTCAGGCTTGGGAGCCCGGTGAGCACATAGGGTTTTCAACCCACAATAATAAGTTTATTAATTTCATCAAACCCAACAAACCCGATTTCCCGTTCCCGTTATCCTCACTTTACGTCCCTAAAGCATCTAATAAAAGGGACCCAGCCTAAGGATTTTCATCGGGGTGACAACACTGCTTAGGGGATACCTCAACAATTTATGTCAAATAAGGCAAACATGAGGGGGATGGAGTATTGTTGGTGAACACTTAGTTCAAATAAACACCTAAACGTTGCGAGCCTGCTAGCGTTCCATTGGACTGACTAGAATAGTCCGTGGTCGTCATCTATACACCGCTAGATGACTAGATCGTCGTAAACATCGAGACCTCTCATCATTTTATCACACATCATCTATTTCATCTACCCATGTTATACCCAACATTTTTTGTAGAGATAAAATACATATACAGTTTTAATCATTTAAAATGTGTATAAAAATGTTCATCCAACATAGATACCAAGTAAACAGATAATATGCACACATAGCATGTAATTTATATAAAATACTTCATATCTATGTGAGAGAACCCCTTCTCTAAACTTTATCATATTACTCCAAACATGCTAC